ACTCCTTGCAGTCTGCTGTCAGAAGCTGTTGTGTCCTCAACATTGTGGCGCCCCTTCGTACATCGTTCATGTCCATCTGAGCCACCGAGTTAGGGGATGGTGTAATTGATGCTGGCACAACCTAAAGGAGTGGGATTCAACAAAGTAGGAGTGAATAAAAGCCCGCTTGAATGGGGTTCAAACCCAACGTTCTTTTATCACATTCAAGAATGTATTGCTCTTGCATTGTTATTTTTCATTTCAAATGGCAGTTTTGAAGGTGTGACAACATTATGAACTGTTACAATCCAAGGATCACCAAAAGACCATATTCCAATTAGTGTGAAGGAACGTACATTGGTCATTCACAAGACGTTCATTAACAGTAACATTTTATTCATAATTTACAGAAAATATTAAACTATGCAAAAATGGTTTCATAACTACCATTAAAAATAAATAAAAACTAAAGGGGTTCAGGTCTGCTTGGTTGGATTGGCCCAATTTGATGACATGAACCTAAGATCTGGCATTTGGTCAAGAATTACTTTTGAACAAGAGTTAAAATCTGACTTTTTGCTTTTGAATGGTTATAGCATGCATAAATTTCTGGTTACTACTCAACAAACATTTACAGAGTGGTTAACATGAGGCGTTTTAATACATGTGAACATCAACAGAAAAGCATGCATTGCAGTGCAATGTGGATTAAACATCCATACATGGAGCCAGACGCAAGAAAATGCAAAAAAATGAAACTTGTTAAAATTGTAATTTAAGAAATTAAATTTCAAATATTTAACACAGGAAAACTCAAGTCAACGACCAACTCAAAAACAAGCATTTCAATGCACTTACCAGGACCAGTATGATTAACTTATGATGCGGGCAGAAATTCAGTGGGTAGGCTAAGTTGGCACCTGCACATACCACAAAATGAAATATAAGGAGAATTACTGTGAAGTAAAAAGGAATAGTGAACTAAACCACAAGCAAACCAACTCATTTTTTCTTATGAATTTTTTTTTTTTTTTTTTGTTTTTATAATGTTAATAATATCACCCCACTCTTTGGCACTACTTCTACATGATAAGCAGAATTGTGATAAGCTGACGATATTTCAACTAAGCTGAAGAAGAAAAAGACTTTGGTATTAAAACCCTAATGTTCCGATAGTCACATTTCATGAACTCACCTATCATGCCTACTATAAAACAATTTTATCTTCAGATCTTGACGATTCCTAACTAGGCCTACGTGGTGTTGCCTCCATTTTCGTCTTTTCGCTGTTTTTGGGCTGGATCTGGCCTCTTCGGTATACAATAGAAACTCAACCCGCCTATTTTTGTCTTTGGGCGCTGCTGTCAGCTACTGCACAATCATTACCTGAAAGTTCATGCCATTTTGAGGAGGAAATATCAACACCTTATCGACGCAGCACGATCATGTATACAAACGACAGTAAAACAGAAGTTGTCTGTGCCGGTAACTTCGGCACTTCCGGTTGACGCAAGATCGACATGCGCCCGCTGGAGTTGGCAGTCCATTGTATTGTCTCCTTCAGGTCTATGGTCAATGCGTACGTAATTAAGGCGACTATTGAAATCTCGTCGCCAGACGACATTTACTTGTTTTCATGCTCGTCTTTTTGTTTTCGTAGATTTTTTTTTTGGGGGGGTGACTGGTTGCTTTGTTCGCGTGGTCGATCAGCTTGGCAAGCGGAAAAGCGGTTTTATTTCCGGGGTTTGTTGAAAGTCTTGTCGTAGGCTGGGCGTTTTCACTCTGCGGTGGTTGTCGGTCAGGCCACAGTGAGCGCACGGTTGTGATCTATACGGAATTGTAACTTCCAAATTGTCCTTCAGTTGATTCCTTCTTGTAATGTGGCTGATGAAATGATGGTTCACTCAACCTAATATCAGGGCATCTTAGAGAGAGGAATACATTCCATTTGTTCTTCTCGAGCCCAATTTGAACAGACGGTTCACTAAATATCGCCACATCGACGTCACTACTGACATAAAGGCTCCCCACCCCCCTGGTTGTCCCACATTTTAACCTAACTACTCTGAGACTGCAATCAGTCAGATGGGCTGACATGCAGGGAAGGCATGCAAAAGGATCATTCACATCCAAAGTGTAATTATATTGGCCTTAAACTGCACCTTGCGTCAGCATCAACCTGTTCGTGTTTTTCAGGCCTCTAAAACCTCATCACTCGCCAAAAATTGAACCGACTCCTTAGATACTCGCTGTTGAGTTGATCAAATGAATTCAACCCCATCTGTTAGAAACAGATATTCAGCTTGCAATGCTCTAGATATGACAACACGAATTAGACAGTACAAAAAACCTACAGCATTTGGAGATTGTAGAGCCTACTGAAAGCATTTGCCTCAATGCAACCGATGCTGACGCCTCTCAGGGACCTGCCAAATAAAAGGAAAAATGTATTCTGGTATTTAAATTTGGAAAGAAATAAGCCGCTGGTCAATTTGCCAGTAAACATTTATTGTTAACCGGTTGGTTGAACGTTGACGTTATTTGGTATGAAACGATCTCCGAAGCTATCAAACTTGATAAATCGAGTGGAATCCGGCTACTGCGTAATTTTAACAAGTTTTCATTGGGAACCCTTGAGTAATATGAAAAGTAAAGGAATCTCTCTCATTCCCCAAACATTTAGTGGTGGCTCTCTTTTTTCAGATGACGTCGTTTCTGTATAATTCATTTACATCTGGAAACCAGACAAACAAGATGTTCTTATGTCCTGTGTACATGTACAAGCTGAAAAGCTTTTACG